AGTAATTATTATATATGTATATACTACATAAAAGAACACGTAGGAACCTTAAGGTTTAATTATTTAGGAAAATATTAGGCCTAGTTATGTATATATCGAACATTTGCTAGATTAAAACCTTTGACCTTTTGAGCCGTATCATTTGGCAAATCCATGAGTTATAGGCACAAACAAGTTAAAAATAGATAACTACTTTAAATAATACCTTCCAAAATAACCCTCCAGATCTTACCGTTTATAGAAACTGTTCAAAAACAGACTGTGGCATTTAATACAAAAATTATATAATTTATAAATATAAAATTTAGAGGAAGATGCATTTCCTATATGAAGAATTACTAAGGAACCTATATATAAAAACATCTTAGAGATCTCAGGAACCTTTTTTTATATAGAAGAATATCGTTCAAATCGAAGAATACTTAATGACCCTATGATATATAACTAAATTCCCATTTATATGTAGGAAAGAACTGAGGAATTTGTCGAAACGTTTACAGAAACATCTTTATAAAACAGTTTCATATAGAGGACGAGTTAAGAACCTTTAAGCACTTGTTCGAGTAGTAAAGAAAGTAAAGAGTACTGAGGAACTATAGTCTTTGGTTCTATATAGAAAAGTACTGAAAATTCTAGTTCCCTAATTTGCTGGACCCTACTTCCATTGTATAGAGTCTATAAAAAGATTACTCAGGAACCTTAGTATCTAGACTTCTATTCTAAAAAAAAAAGAAGATGGAGGAGTCTAAAAACACTTAGTTGTGACTATGGGACCCTACTTCTACTTCTACACATATAAAAAAGTCCAGAGGAATCTTTAGACCATAGTTCTATATAGAAGAATTTCAGAATACCAGTCTTTAGAACTCAATTCTTTAAAAAAAGAAGACTCATTATTGTCCCTATGGCCCTAATTCTATATAGACGATTACTGGACAATCTAAAGACTATTATTCTATATGGAACAGTACTTGGTAATCTTTCGAGTCTAGTTCTTTGAAATATAAAAGCATATAAAATAGATATTGGTAGTTTTTTTTTTTTAATTGTAAGCCCAAAAGTAACTTGGAAGTCTAAAGTATTGTATGGAGCATAATGCAAGTGAAAGTTGGAATAAAGTAAAATAAAAAGTCTAAAATCTAAGTCTATGAGCCCTAAAAGTGTATAATATAGAATCCAAGTATTAACCTGACTTTCAAGCTTAAAACCCCAAGACTAGTAAAATTTCCTAGCCCCTTCTCTGAAGACCAGACCCTTATTCCCCCTAAATACTTTTCAGAATCTCTTAAATAACTTTAATAATATCCAAGCTGTCTCGCTCTCTGATTTCCGCGGCAAAGGAATGCTAGGGCAATAAAGCCAAAAAAAAGAAAGCCCCAGATTTAATATCTGGCTGCCCTTTAATCTATCAGACCCAACAGCTGTGGCCAATGGCCGAAAATTGAGCAATCCACCATCCAAAAGCCCAGGCCCTCCCCTTTCGATATATTTATTTTTTTTTCTGCCTCCAATTCTGTGGACTCTGAACTCTGTATTGTGAACTCTGGGGCCGGGATTTTTTGTTGTTGTCTTTGTTTTTAATAAATTTCATGGCCAGAATGGTCCAGGACAGAGCCATGATAAAGCTGATGACTGGAATCCTGGCCGGCAGTGTCCTGGCCGGCTCCTGGCAGTGCTCGCCTTTGTTATTGTTCGCCTGGCAACATTTGCATGCCTCATTTGAGGACAAGTTCCTCTTCATTTATTTATTTTATTGCGGCCTCATTCGCGTTATGAACTCAATGGCCTGTGGACATTATTTTAATAATTGCACTCAGCCCCGCCTCCGTCCTTCTTATTCAGCCCGAGTATCCACAGAGGACGGGGTCACTCCGTGTTGTTTTCTTGTCGGTTTATTACTCGCATTCCATTGATTTTCATGGATTTTTCGTAATAAACTTTGCTCTATTGTAATTTTTTATGTACTTGGAGGAGAGAGTTTCTTACACGAAAATAGTAAGGAAATATTTTCTGGCAAATATTGGGTAGGATTTTTAAGAAGTTTGATTCCTTTTTGGTAAATATTCTAAATTATTTTATTTATTCGTTTTTGCAGCTTTTTTTGCATTATTTAAATTGTTTAAGCTTAATTCTTGTGGAGTTTTGGATCATACCTTTTAAAAAGGTGTTTTTGAAACATATACGAAGTTTTGGGAATACTTTATTGGAAAAAGTGGTGTCCATTTTGGAAATGATTTAATGACATTTTCCTTCCAGGATTTCTGGATTAATTTACCACCATTCTGCATCAAAATCCTGAGACAAAATATTTTTTTGAGTTTTTGTCTATTTTTTGCTATGGGATCCCTTTAAATGCGGTATTCCCCTATAGGGCCCACAGTGATGGGTATATCTTGCCCAATCCTCATCTGATTCGCAAGCGGAGTACCTTAAACGATTCCTAGATCGATTTGCCACTGTTCTGCATCAAAATCCTGAGACAAAATATTTTTTAGAGTTTTTGTTGATTTTTCGCTGAGGGATCTCTTTAAATGCGGTTTTCCCCTATAGGGCCCACAGTGATGGATATATCTTCCCCAATCCTCATCTGATTCTCAAGCGAAGTACCTTAAACGATTCCTGGATCGATTTGCCACCGTTCTGCATCAAAATCTTGGGACGAAATATTTTTTACAGTTTTTGTCCATTTTTCGCTGAGGGATCCCTTTAAATGCGGTTTTCCCCTATAGGACCCACAGTGATGGATATATCTTCCCCAATCCTCATCTGATTCTCAAGCGGAGTACCTTAAACGATTTCTGGTTATAGTTATAGTTTATAGTTATAACTCCATAACCCCTCAATTGTTATTTTTTTTTCCAAAAAAACCCTGCATATCCCTTATTATCCTTTTGATGGGCATAATTTTAAACACATCTGCATTCGGTTTGCTTCAACCTGTTTATTTATTTCAATCAGCAACCGGAAGACGTGCTGTCTGAGATCTCAAGAGACCGTCCACATATATTATGGATGGCAGGAGCCCAACAATTGCTCAAACCTTCTAAAATTACAAAATCTAATCTGATCCCCTGGCTAAGCTTACACATACTTTGTGGCCTAATTTATCTTGAGTGGATCAATTGGGCCAAAAACCAAAAAAAGAAAATAATAATAAAAACAAAAGAGGGAAACCCGAAGGAAGGAGCACCTACCAGAAGATATCCCTTTGTAGCCGGGTGTGCTTTTGTTTATTGTTCTATTCAATGGAGAAGTATTCCGTTTTCAGGACAAGTGTCGGTTGCACAATGGCCCGAAAAACCGGGCCAAAACAAAGAACCTGCACGATCGACCGATAAAGGATTATCCCAGACTGGCTGTCTGGCAATCGGGGCAGTACGAGCATAACAACATATCTAGGGCCTACATGGACCCTAAGTGCGGCTTAGCCGAATGCTAATATATGCCATCTATGTGTGGCTTAAGGATTAATAATCCACACATGCGAGTGATACCTGTAGTCCTGGGTGGCTTTTATTGTGCGGCCGCGGGCGCTCCTTTGTGCCATTGTCCTGCAAATTGCTGAACAAAGACAAGTGTAGCGCCGGCGCTGCCACCGTCGACGATCTATATCCTTTTTTTTCTCTCCTCTCCCCGCTCTATATCTGTATCTGATACTTTGTAGCTGTATCTGCAATTGTATATGTTTCTTTGTTTGTTTTCTTTTCTGTATCCCTATCGCTGCCGCTCCAATATAAATATTTTAATCACTAAAATCAGCGACACAAACTAACCTACCGATGCAAGTCATTTGGCATTCATGGCAGAGGATGTGCTTAGGGCCAGAGGAGTATTGAAAAAAGTTACATAAAATATGGATGGATACAGTGAAAGTAAAGCCTTTAATGTACTTGTGTATTTCATTTGAATATTTTCAGAGTCAGTATTGGGCCTCAACTTAATGGTAACGAAAAATAACGTAAAATATAATTAATAATTTGCTATATGTATACGAAAGTTCTGGTTGCTAATCACCTCTCTCTAATCTCTAATAACCTCTGAACTTTCAATATTTTGGTTGCCACACGACTACCCCATTGCCCTAGTGTCCAATTCCGTAGACAGCACACGCCTGAAGACAGCTCTTCTTATCAGTAACTCTGAAGCTAAGTCTCAGTCTCGTGCTTAGGCTAAGGCCGTGGATGGCTTTAAAAAGCCGGAGCTTCAAGACTCGCAGCATCAGTTGAAATATTACCAGAGAATCTTTCAGTAGAACCTTCAGTTCAATCTAAAAAATACAAGATGATCTTCCCAGTGGCCCTCCTTGCTGCCTTTATCCTTTTTCCTGCCACCTTGGGATCGGAGGAAGTAAGTAATAGACTTTTTGAGTGTTTTGTTTAAAAAAATTTAAAAATTTAAATTCAAACGTACAATTATACTTCGAGAAGTGCCACGAAAAGGATGCTGAACTATTAAAGTGCCAGACAGACTTGCGTAACGATGGTCTCGAAAAATATGCCCAGATATTAAAATGCCAACAAGATTATGCGCACTTGGTGAAATCGAATCTGGAAATGCAAAACAAATATACGGAAGTGATCAGTCAACTTATGGATGAGAAAGTAAAATATGCGCAGTTGCAATCAAAGCATCAGGAAGTTGACAATCTAAAAGATTTCATAAATCAAAAAAATAAGGAAATCGACCTCCTAAAAGATCAAATTAAGGAACTAAAAGAAAAAAGTGAACTTGCAACGTTGACTAATCAGTTTCGTGACGACATTGCCAAGTTGGAAAAAATAGTAAAGATTGGAGGTATGGATGAAAATAAATCATCAAAGTCGGAAGTAGAAACTGGGGAGGTCCCAACAACTCCACTGCCTAATATTAATAATCAGACGGCGTCGAAAACAGAAACCATAGGTGAGTAGGCAGAACCCAGTCATTTGCAAAATAAAACAATGATTTTTTCTTCCAGATCTTCCAGATCCTTGTCCACGGAGCCAAAAAGAATACATAGTCATCCGCGAAATGCAACTACCAGGCTCAGACCCGCTTAAAGTGGTTTGTCTTTCAGATTCGGAGCTTGGATCTGGATGGTTGATGATTTATAGAAAACATTATAATTCACCAAAACTTAATCGCACTTATGAGGATTTTGACAGTGGATTTGGCGATCTCGGAACTGATTCTATACCTTATTACTTTATTGGACTCAATCGATTGCACATTCTGACAAGCGGAATGGCTCATGAAGTGATCTTAACCACCTTCCCCCTTGGGAGAAGAAGATGCGAACACTTTGTTATAGGCGATAGACGAGAAGGCTTCAAGGTGAAAAGTATTGCCAATTGTACTGGAGACGACATATGGCTGAGCCCTAAGCAGGGCTCCAAATTTTCCACCTTCGATCAAGATGAGGATGGAGTTCCTGGTCGAAATTTGGTGAAGGAAGAGGGCTTTGGCTGGTGGTTCGATCCTGATATGAGTCGTATAAGGTGTGTATTCCATCTTAGATTTTCTTTTTTTTTTTTTGATTCCAACTAAAAGTTTCTAAAATAACTAACTTCAAATAATATTTTTAATTCTATTTTTTCATTTCTGAATCTATTAGCCACGAAAGTGATCACATTGGAGTATTCATCCGAAGAACAGGATGAAGAAAAAAAGCAGCTTTTTAAAACGGACTTGGAAAATTATACCATTAAGGATTAGGAAGATTTAAAGATAATAAATATGCACTAAAATGTAATTGTTTAAAGTTTAAAATTATAAGGACGTCGATTATATTTTCATAGTATTTAAGAAATTTCCCTAATAAAATATGTAAAAATTGATTGGAAATAGCAGTTTTCACTGGAAGCTTAAAATTTGAGACTAAATTTTGAATTTCAGACTTTTTAGGATCAGTCCCAACGGAACTCTGCCTTAGTTGTGGAAGGGGTTTACAAACTTAGCAGCTTAAAAATTTTTTCCTTTGGACATAGGCCTTTCTTTAAAAAAAATTGATATATCATACCATATCCACCTCTATTCAACTGCAAGGTTAAATGCACGTATAAGTTTCGTTTGCCTTTCTTGTTTAAAATTTAATAAATCGCTAATCTGAACGAAATACTTGGATTACTTTCTCTATAAATATTGTTTATTTTGATTATTTTAATTTCCATATTCGTCCCATATTCCATATTCAAATGCTATAAACTAAAACTTTTAACCAAAATAAACAATATTTTAACTCAATAATAAGCTATTTGACACAGTTATTTTTTTTAGGGACTTTCTTAACTTATCAAGATTTGAAACCCTTCATAGTTTCCTCGAAAAAAACCCATGATCTCCAATTAAATGCCATAAAACCCTAGAGCGTGACAGAATTTTGTGTCGGAATTTTTCCGGACAGACCATGCGTAGTTTTTTTCGCCAAAGTTTTTTGGCGAACCATTCCCTTCAGTTCCAGTTCCTTTTTTCCGGTTTTTATTTCTATTTTCCCTTTTGGATACACTATGTTTCTAATCAGTGCATCTTCCGGTTCTCCGGACTGCCCACGATTTTTCGGCCCGTCAGTCAACAGGGCGCGATATTTGTCAACAGGCGGAACTATAAATATGCAAAAAAAAATCACAAAAAAAATGCCCAAAAAACTGGCGGAAAAATAGTGGAGTTGGAAATGGAATGGCAAGTGGCTGGCCACTACTACCAGGCGGAAAATGGAAAACGGAAAAACAGAAAAACTGCCAAGTGGAAATGTGAAACGTACATACGAGTGTATGTATGCCCAAAAAAAAAAAAGAAAAAATATTTCAGAGTACAAGTAGGATAGCCGAAAAAAAAATATATAGTACTAGAGTAGTAGGCCTTGCTTTCACATTCAGAGCCAAGTAACGTCGATTATAAGGACTTTAGTCCAGTTCATTCGATTTCGTGGAGCACATTTCACTCTTCTGGTCGTATCATTTTTATTTTTTACTCTGGCAAAATAAAAATTATTTAAATTTATAAACAACAAATTTTTTTTTTCAAATCGGTATTCCTGGAAAATCGAATAAAGTAGTAACGAAAATCAAAACGTCCCCATCGAGCTAGCTCGGGAGTTGTCAATCAAAATCAGTAAACGTTTATTTTCAATCGAAAGTCGTGCTGCCGTGCGTTAGTATACGAACTCTCTCCCTCACCTCAACCGTATTATACATTTGTGTTATTTTAATCTAATACCAAGTTTTGTGCGATAATAATTCGGCTGCCGGTAAAATCTGAATTCTAAATTCAACGCGCGTTTTAGATTCATTCTCAATAATAAACAATACAACTGATAATTATTGAGTGATAACTAACAACCATCGTAACAATATGCTGCGTCAGATTCAAGTGCATGCCAACTGGCAGGTTCAACTGCTCAAGGGTGCAATGGGACTAAGTAAGTTTTAAATAAATTAAACTAGTATAATCGTATGTTATAATGCTAGTGGTATTATACTAGTGGTATTATAATAGTGGTATTATAATAGTTGTATAATTTCATAATAGTGGTATCATCGGTGTGAAAGAACAACTTATCGTGGTTTTAAGTTGCTTTTAAGATCATTATGATTGCGGTATGCAGTTTTAAATTGGTTTAAATATTCGAAATATTGTGAATATTTCATCTAAAAACAATGATTATATACTTTTCTCAATGGTCTTCTACATATATGCTTCATAGAGTAGCACTATGATCTATATATACAAATATTTCTCGAAGAGCTAACGCTAGCTAACAATAAGGCCTTCATTGTGGCCTTATACCTTTTTATTTTGGTGCCATTTCTAAATCCCTTGCTCTTACATTATAGCGGTCTAGGCTTTATTGAGCCGCTAATATAATGTCGTTTAAAGCATAAAAATAATTTCAAAATGTTCAAAAAAAACATTTTTTTTTTGACATTTAATTTTTTGGCTACTTGTTTTTTCAAACTGTTCCTAATTTATTTTAAATTTTGACATCTAAAGCCACCAGTTTTCTCAATTTCAGAACAAAATCAATTATTTTTAGAAATCAAATAGCTTTCTTAAATATTTAATAAAATATTTTGAAATATTTTTCATATATTTTTATTTATTAGAATATATTTAAATTGAAAATAAAATAAATTTTCTTGAAAATCCTTAGACACCCGCCAATTCAGTGCACGTCCTTTTGGGGGCCTAAAGTTTTTCCAAACGAAGACCGTGACCGTCAAAGAGAGACCTTCCAACTCTAGCGTCGGCGGACCTGTTCGCTTGATCGGCGGATCATCCAACTCCTTCGATGACATGAAGCACATGCAGGACAAGAAGACCGAAAAGGAGATGGAGCCAACTAGCGAGCAACGTCCACGCAGGCCCCTCTTCAACCCACTGAGCCGCCGCCACTCAGTTAGCCAGTCAAGAGTTCAGTATATTTACGAAAAGCATCGCGAACTCGCCCACGAGGTCGAGCTGCGCAAACCGAAGGGCAAGCAGTTTGTTACTCGCCACTCGCTGCATTCTGGACGCCAGGACAAGATCAACTAGAACCACCGAAGGCAGTAGGATGACGTTCTCCTGGTTAGCCGACTACCGTACTACCGGTTAACAGATGCCAGAGTTTTATTTGTTTTTTTTTTTGATTACTTAACCATCCGGAATCCATCCGGAATACCGAAGCGGAAAGAATATAAATCAAAATCAATAATTTTTACCTAGACGAGACTGCCACTACAAATGGACGTGGCAAATATCCATTGTTATGTTTCACAACGCTTTCGTTCAAACAGACATGCGGAGCAAGACTTTTGTTTTCAATTCAATAATGTTAAATATTCTGGTACTTGGAACAAATGAAGCTAAAATTTATAGAACTAAAAAAAAATTGCAAAATTGTATCAAAATCTATTAAAAAGAAATTATTGCTAACAACATTGGAATTTGGTTCTACTTTTTGGAGGGATGGTGGAAGATTATATACGATAGATATATGATAAAATACTCATTCTTAAATGAAAATCTTTTAATAATAATCTTACTCGTTAAATTAAGAGAAATAGATTTAAACGAGAAGTTGAGAGAACTAGAGGATTTAACGAGTTTTCTCAATTCAACGAGAAGATGAAAACCCATATTAGGTAACAGTTCTTAAGGGGTTATATACAGTTGTACCGCGCAAAAATATGGATTTTTATCGATTTTTTTTTGACACCATAGAAAATATTTATGAAAAATGTTTTACCGACGTTGTTTAGTACATGTTTCTGGGAACTTAATTAAATTTTTTCATAAAAAGATATTACATAACAAAAATGTTATAGCCGAATTCCCGAATCGTCTTTTTCGATGGTGTCTTGCGGTGGACATGATTTCTCGAAAACGGTTCATCCGAAATCCAAAATTCAAAAAGTTTAGTTAGTATATTGTATTATCTAGTCCGTGAACGAGGGATTTTTTAAAATTTTGATTAAAAAAAATGGCGACGTTTGAAACAAAAATTTACTTTTTCAAGGTATAAGATTTTTGTTTTTTGTGCTTTAAAAGGGAGTTTTCAAAAAAATGGAAAATCCCTCGTTCACGGACTAGCTAATATCATAATAAATATGTGGTCAAAATTTGGTGTTGATCGGATTAGTAGTTTTTTAGTAATCGTGTCCACCGCAAAGGTAATTTCCCAAAAAAAAGATTCTGAGATAATCGCGTTTAAAGTTTCAAGTTTGTTCAAGTTTTATATGCAGATAGTGCGCTATAAATAGCTACAGCTTCGGATCTAATGTTCCGATCGTTATCAATTTTTGTGGGAGTACACCCAATAGAATATACTTAAAGAATATGCAATAAAAAAAAAATCGATTTTTTCATATATCACAACTGTATATAACCCCTTAAGAAGACATGTTAAACATGTAATCATACTTATCTAAATAATTTAATAAAGTGTTTAACTAAGTAAGTAAAGCCCAAGAGATAATGAAGATAATAAGAGATAATAATTGTTCTTAAACGAATAGTTCTTAGAATGAATGATAAAAGCATGATGAAGTATAATATGATCCAACGAGTAGTTTTGGTTTAAGAGAAGGTGAAAGAACACATTATCATAGACTCATTAATTCATTTCCTATTCAATTAATTTAATAAAGTTTTTAACCATCCAACTAAATTATATTCTTAAACTCCTAAACTTAAATCTTAAAGTGTGTCCTTGCCCAAGGATGCCCCAGGCGCTCATCTCCTGTTGCTGTCCACTCAAGTGAGTCCGGCTAAGACCCGAGTTACTGAATCTGGATATGTGAATCGGAGAATCAGAGAATCGAGGAATAGTGATTGGCGAAAAAGAATGAAAATGAGAATCGGGATGGAAACTAAGCGTTTCACTTTCAGCTCCGTTTGATGGCCAGTTGATTTTTGTCCGCCACCCGCCTTCTCAACCGTTTTGGAGCATGAAATCGCAATGCTAACGCAGCTCTTGGCCAGGCTTTAACCATCCCAGTCCAGTCCAGTCCAGCCCAGTCTCCAAAAAAATCACTCTAAACCAAATACGTCAAGGAAACTAGGGGGCTGGGAGCGGAACGAAGTAGGAAAAGCTCTGGCTTTCCTTTGAGTGCCAGCCGGCTCAATATCACAGGGAAAATACCCGCAAAAAAAAAGAAAGCAAACCAGGGGGGATAAGAAACAAAGGCTTCTGAAAAAAAAAAAAAACAAAAACAAAAAAAAAAAGGGAAAACAAGAAAAAACATCGAGAGGTGGCCAAAAGGGAAAACAGAAGCTGACTTGACTACAAAACCCAAGTCGCAACGGATGCGGCATCATCGAACAGATTCGATGGGTAACAGTTGAGAGGTGGAAGGGTCCTGTTTGAATTAGAGAGGGAGTACACTTTTAAAAACAAAACTTTATATTCGAAAGGCTTTATATAGAAGAATTGTGGTCTTTTGTTGGAAGATGCTTTATATATGGTATAAATTATTCGATATTATATACATATTTTAGATTATATAGGTAGTATATAGTATTTATGTGGTAATATTATTTGTATTATATTATGGTATGTATGTATTATATTTGGTAGATTTTAAAGGGATACATCCTCCTTAAAATGATCAAAATTTTGTATGCTACTTATAAATAATGGTCTTTAATAGAGGTAGGGGTATAACTCCGGCATACCCTCTTATCAGGAGTAATTATTTTGTTTTTTTCTGATATATTTTGGGTTGAATTTAATTTTTAAACAACTCATATACTTCTAACTAACAAATAAAGATCTCGCTGAAATGATTTTATTTTTAAGTTATAAGAAAGGGTCTTCTTATAAAGAAACCACAAATCTACAATGATATAACTCTACGCTAAGAAAAGAGGTACGCTTGCGGTGTTAAAAAATGTAATATTAAAAATAAAGTAATCTTAAAAACATTATAATTCTATTAAAACCCTCAAGGAAATATGTATGTCCCCATAAGGATATTAATTTTAAGCTTTAAGAAATGATCCTAAGAGGGATAAAGACCTCAGAAGGGCATCAGGCTGATAGAAGAAATAACACTTTTACTTATTCTTAAATAACTTTCTTTATATTTTACTTTTATTTTATATGCGTTCTACCTCTAATTATTGTATGCATTTTCTCTCAGTGCCCTTTGCAGATCCACCAGGATTGACTTTGACTGCCGAGCCATATGTATATCCTGTTTGTGCCGAGATTTAGCTTTGAGCTATGGATATCGTTAGAGCAGCTCATCGATTTGGCCGCCCCACCGCCCCGACCCAAGTGAGGGCGTGGCTGGCTGAGTGACTGACTGACGACTGAGTTTGAGGACTGAGGTGGTGCGATGGTGGCATGCTGGTGGTGCGGCGTTGTCGCAACTTCGAGTGTCGTGTGCAGCAAAGTTTACAAGCTCCGGAGCTCATTTTTTGTCCCCTTCTCCGGCTGCTACTGCAGCCACCAACAGGCTGAGCGAGCTGTTGCTTCCTTTTTTTTTTTTTTAATTACATCCTTCGAAAGGGGGCAACACAACAACAACAACAAATGCAACAAAAAATTGCAATATGCCCCCGAGGGGAAAAAAAAAGGAAAATACACCCGACCAAACCAAAAACTTGTACAAATGCCATGGTTTGGCTTTGGCCTACGAGTATCTGCCGCCGATGGTGTCCTGTATGTCCTGCCAGTCCTGCCTGTCTGTCCTACCTCTATCCTCGTCCTTATTTCACAATTTGTTGCATTTTTTTTATATCACTCCTAGTTTATTGTGAAATTCCAATAAATGCAAAGGGGCGTGGCGTGCCATAAAGGTATTGCCAAAAGGACCGTTTGGAAGGATGTGCAGGATGTTGGCTGCAGGCCTGCACCATGCTGCCCCCAAATGGGGGTCCAGAGGAAGACCGAGCGGCTCGGAGAAAGGCTCCTGTCTGAAGAAAAAACAGAAGCACACAACACGCACAATGCTACGCAAAAAATGCAAAAAACAAACAGCAGAAAATCGTAGAAAATCGGAAAATTGGCCACGCAATGTGGGATCGTTGGGGAAAGTAAAGAGAAGTGGCGAAAGGTCCTTAAAGGATTAAGTTTACAGGACCAATTGAATGACTTACAGGCTCGAGAGAAGAGAGTTTTTATGAAAGGGGAGTTTGTAGATAGTTTTATGAGATTTTTAGTTTAAAATTTAAAATTTAAATATTAAAAATATAAAAGAATTTGTTGTAATGTATTAATATTTATATTTTAAAGTATTTTTTATTTAAATAAGTTTTTAAAGGTAATATTTTTCAAGGTATAGTTTTTATAAAAAGAATAGATTGTGAAGCTATAGGAATTTTAAAAAATATAAAGGTTTCTAAGAAAGTTCTAAGAAATAATAATTTTAAATATCATATACTATTCTATAAATTTTTAAAATATTTCTTGAGTTTTTTTTAACACCTTTCTTTTAAACCTTTTAAAATTTAAAGAAATATAGGTATTATTTAAAAAACAAAACTTGAAACCCCTTAAAGGACCTTCAACGCTTCGTCTTAAACTGACCAGAAACAGTTGCAGAACCAGTACCAAGTACCAAGTACCAAAGACCAAGGAGCAAGCACCTAGAACCCTGGCACACCTGGCCAAAAAAGCACAGGTAACTCGACTCACCCATTCGGTTCAATTGTGCAAGGGATTGCGATGCGCCAAGGACATCATCGTCATCGAGAAAATACACCAAACGAGGAGCTGGGCTGGAAAAATGGAAAACGAGGAAAATCGTAGAGGAGAAGGACAGAGCAGCGTGTGCAAGGACTCGTTCGGTCGTTCGGTAGGTCTCTTCCTTTGGGCACCTCAGGGTACTTGGGTACTTTGGGGATTTTGTGTAGATTTACATGCAAACAATCAAGATATGCCGGGGCTTTCAAGTGCCCGGGCGCTGGGAGAGCTTGGAAGAGCGGAAGACCCGGGTCCTGGGCTTGGGTCCTGGGACTACACTGTCGAAGAAATTGGGGGCTGATGTGTAGGTTTTAGTTGAAATCAATTGAATTCATAACCTAGATACCTATGGAGAAGAATAAAAACCCCCATTCTTAAGAGGGTTCTGTTAACCCATGAAACCCTATTATCCTTTGAAATAGAGCTCCCAAAATGAAAAGTTCAGAATTTTCTTTCAGTGGCTTAAGAGACCTGGTGCCAATACGTCATGTGTGCCACGGCAGCGGCTTACCCGGAAAATGGAAAATGGGAAAACGGGTACGGTTGCGAAAGGAAAGCTGCGCGATGGGATGGCCATGGGGGAAACGGAAACGGTAACACTGGCAGGTTTGGGCGGTTAAATGCTCCCCGTGCACGTTCCGTTTGCTTTTCACATCTTTTCACCTTTGATTTTGCATTCGCAGATTTTCTCCC